AGAGCATCCATCACTAGAATGAATAGCATGGGGGATAGGGGGTCACCTTGCCTGAGACCCCTGAAGCTGCCAAAGAAACCACACGAGCTACCATTAACGAGGACGGAGAATCTGACTGAGGAAATGCGGAACTTGATTCATCCCCTCCATCTTGCCCCAAACCCTATCTGCATCATAATGAAATCCAGGAACTCCAAATTAACATGGTCGAAAGCCTTCTCAAGGTCCAACTTGCATAGTAAGTCGGGATCTCTATTTTTCCTTCTGAATTCTACAAGTTCATTTGCCACCAAAGCAGCATCCAGGATCTGCCTACCTTCCACAAAAACATTCTGGGAGGACGAAACAGACACGTCAAGAACCTTCTTGAGATGCATACTGGGAGGACGAAACAGACACGTCAAGAACCTTCTTGAGTCTGTTGGAAAACACTTTAGAAATAATCTTGTAAATGCTCTCCACGAGACTAATAGGCATGTAGTCTCTGATACAAGATGCACCTTCTTTCTGAGGCACAATAGTAATAAAAGAAGCATTGATGCTTCTCTCGAAAACACCATTCACATGGAAGTATTCAATGGTTTCCATCAACTCCCCCTTGATGGTGTCCTAACAGAGCTGGAAGAAGGCCAAGGAGAAACCATCAGGCCCGGGGGCCGTATCACCAACACAACTCGACATAGCCTCGTGCACCTCCTCCTCCTCGAAAGCCCTTTCCAGCCACTCACTATCTCCCTTCCCAATGTGGTTGAACTCTATTCCCCCCCAAAGTCGGCCTCCAACTAACTTCCTCTTTGTATAAGTTCTCATAGAACCCAGTATCGCCCATTTTACCTCCTCCTCTCCCTCAATCCTCACCCCATCCACAACTAAGAACTCTATGAAGTTTCTCCTTCGATTTACAACCGCCACCCTGTGGAAAAACTTGGTATTTAAATCCCCCTCCTTTAACCAGAGCATTTTTTGCCGCCAACTAGTCTCCTAAGCTATTGCTAACTCTACTATTTCTCTTGTAACCTCCCCCAATCTCGCTTTCTCAGCTTCATCTAACTCCCTCGCCCCTTCCCCTCTTTCTAATTCTCCCAATTCATGCATAAGCTCCCTCATTTTAACCTCTACCCTCTCAAAAACTTCCTTATTCCACCTAATAATATCTCCCTTGAGCAATTTAAGTTTCTTCGAAAGACGAAATGAAGGTGTTCTTGATACTCCGTAGCTTGTCCACCATTCTTTCACCTTGTCACCAAATCCTGGCACTTTCAACCACATGTTCTCGAATCGGAAGGGAGCACGCACCCCCCTCCTTCTGCATACATCTAGCAAGATAGGCAAATGATCCGAAGTCAGCCTAAGTAAAGGAATCTGCAGCACATTCGGCACCAGCTCATCCCAGGAGGGTGATATCAGAAATCTATCAAGTCTAGACCTTGAGTTGGAATCCTCCGCCCTGGCCCAAGTAAACATTTCCCCTGACAGAGGAAGATCAATGAGAAAGTGATCATTGATGAAGTCAGAAAACTCCTCCATGGCCCTCGAAATCAGACTACACCCTTATCTCTCCTCCGGGAATCTAATAGTGTTAAAGTCTCCCCCTAGAACCCATGGAATATCCCTTTCCCCCATCACATTGGCCAATTTCTCCCGGAAAAACACCTTGGACCCTTATCCTACCGGTCCGTACACTCCCCCAAATCCCCACTCCACCCCACTCACTCTATCTTTGACAAGTGTTGCTAAAGAAAAAACTCTCTTCCTAATCTCCTTTACCTCCAGACTTCTATCATCCCATATTAGAAGAATGCCTCCGGCACTCCCCAGTCCCCACTGTTGGAACCCTGTCATATTTTACCCAACTACCTCCCCAAACACTCCTCACAATCACATCCGACAAAACTTCCATTTTTGTCTCATGAAAACAAACTAGGTTAGCACTCCACTCTCGAACTCCCACTTTGATGATGGCCCTTTTGTTTGGGTCATTCATCCCCCTCACATTCCATGAAAGAATCTTAACTTCCATAAGTAACAATATCCCCCTTTTCCCCACC